GCGTTGAGGACCACATTGTATACCATACTAGAAAGGGATCGGAGGACATACTTAAAGGTAAAATGGGATTCCTCGTGAGTAAGCTGTCTGATATATGAAAGAAATACAAAAATTGACTTCCTTTCTCATTAGGAGTTTTAGCACATTCTGGAGCCTCTGCAACAGTGCCTTCGTGTTGTCCAGGCAGGGGGTGCTGCTTGTCAAGTACCCCCAAAATTTGAAGAATGTTTCTCAAAATCTCAAAGCTTCGACTCGAGCCAGATGGACAGAGGTTTCTTCAATTTGGAAAAAAATCCTACGCAAGGTTTAGGCGCTAGTGGTGTTCACACTCGGATAGATGGGACGTTTTGGGAAACAACCAACAGCTTTTCGGTATCAGGAGACTCCAAAACGTGAATTTCTGTTGAGAAAATTGAACGCTGCAATGTAGGTAAAATTAACTTGAATTCACTGCGCATGCAGACATGTTCTCTAAATGCATAAAATTATAGTTTAATAGCTTTCAATTTTTACTCATTTTTTCTCGTATCAATAGTAATTTTTTACCTAAATCTTCAGATATGACACTCTACTCTGACTCTACTGTTCTGTATGTTTCACCTCGTGCTTAATACATCTCGACAAAGTTCAATTTTATAAATCGTAGCCACTCTACACAATTTATCTGCTGCAGAGTATCAAGGTAGCCAAAAATTACCAGGAAGAGAAAATAAATAAAAATAATTAAGATCAATGTTTGCAAAGTCTATTGTTGTTTGTGAAGTTCCTTAAAAATAGTCTTAATGTAATTGATTTGTGCAATTATTCGAAACAATAACAAAGAAATTAAAAGAGAGTGACAAAATTCCCAGTCCTCCTGCCAGTCTTAATAATAACACTCACATAATACTTACCCAACATCCTAAGATTCCAAAAGCCAAGGACATGTGTCTGTACATCCGATAAATACTAATTAAATCATCATTCTAGTGTGAATGAAAGTCCAAAATACCCAGGAAAGAGGAATAACATTTTTAACCAGTCTAACCACACAGAAACATATAAAATTCAACTTTCAATGAAAGTTCTGATTATTCACAAAATAATTATTATAAATACCGAAGGTTAACCTCTGAAGTTGATTTACTACTGAAACATTGAACCTCAGAACTACTGAAAAATTGAATCTGCCAAGCATTATTTTATTCTTCCTGTGCAAAAATGGCTGTTTACACAAAAGGTGGAGTTGGACGCACATATATTCAGAGATCGAAATTTGTTCCTTTAAAAGAAACATAATTGTCCCGTTCCCTTCAAATATTTATTTGCATTACTTACGACTCCATTCAGAAAGAAAATTTCCATTACGAATTATCGTATGCACATGATTGCAAAATGCAAACAGCGCATGCGCATTAGATCGACAGTACACAAACTCCTACTTTTGAGCATCTGCGTATATGCAGAAGATTGAGATTGCTGCAGACTAAGGAGTTTGTGCACCCTCGAACTATAGTGATGTGAAATTTCAACTGCGCATGCGCAGGAGATCGATAGTGCTTTAATATGGCCGAGGCAAAAAAAACGTAATACGATGACCCCCTAAATTTTCAAGCGGTATCCTTTACGTTATTAACCAATAATTACGATTTGGTGAAAATAAAATTGCAAGCAGAATGCGGCAAAGTAAAATAATAAAAAGTTAATAAATAATACATTGATAGCGATAATAAATGCAAATAGATTGAAAAATATATAACAGTATTTATTAAACACCATGGTATTGTAATATTCTGAACTATATAAAAGTATTCATTTTCATTACCGCGAACGAAGCGTAGCACTCGCACTCATTATCAGCTTTTGTTATACTTTTGCGGCATTACAACAATGACTCTCCATCTATTTGTTTTCACATTTAACAAATTAAGAACTTAATTTAAAACTAATATATATATATATATATATATATATATATATATATATATATATATATATATATATATATATATATATATAAATGTGAAATAATATACAAATTCTAACATACGTAGCATGCAACTGCCTAAATTGGGAGCTGGTGACTGAAGGAGTCTAGCAATCTTTCTTTCTACAAGGTTTTAAATAATGTCTAAAATATTAATTTGTAAACGTATAACAAAAGCTCAAATGTAAGAAACCAACAAAGAAATATTAAATAAGAAATAATATACACATCTTAACTTAAAATCCAACTGCCTCAAAATACCTCTAAAATTAAGTTCTAGAAGCACAAGATTTTCAGGTCAGGAGACTAATTTTGACGTCCAATTATTCCAAACACACTCAATGTATCTTCATAATTGTAGTTGTACAAAGACACCAAATTAAAATTTGAATTTTTTCAATATAAAAATAAAAAAGGCTTTTAACCAACACTGCACTATTTTCTGAAACATCTTTCAGACAACACAATTTCGTAAGAAACGCAAAAGATTGTACATGACCTTATTTCAAAATTATCTTTAAAGAACAGATTTTATTAAGAAAAAAAAACTATTTTTAATATTTCAGTTGCAACAAGACACTGAAAAAAATTTTGAATTTTTTCAATTATGGGGAAATCCGAGTTTTTTTACCAAAATGAGACCTGCTCGGAGATGACAATCCACCAACAAAATTTGAAATCAAAATAGATGGTGCCGATTTTTTTTTTTTTTTTTTTGTCCCAGGGCCTTCATGTAAAGTATCTCCAAAAATTAAAGTATCGATTTCAAATTTACGGGGCCACGACATCAGCCAGATCGTTCTGGGAATAATCTTGGAGAAAAAAAAAAAGGGTTCGACTTTCTGGTATCAAGGACCCACAAAACGGATTCTGGCTACACATTTATCCACATTTTCGTTTCCAGGGCCTCCAGTTTTTTGCGCAGCATTACGTAACTTTCTTTTAAAGTGTGAGATAAGTAAAAAGATTGCCCAGTAAAGGCAAGTATCACAATCCCTTGCCTCTATCCCTTCAAAGAGTTCTAAATCAAAACACCAATGTCAGTGAGAACTAATAGTTAATTATTTTCTGATCAAGACCTCAACCTGCAATAGCTGTCGTAACTTCAAGCAATAATTGAGATATGTATTTGAAAATAATATAATCATTCAAAAAATCCTTTAAACCCTAAATATTTTCAATGTCCCTGAAGCAATCTCTAGAATTTCTTGTGAAAATAATCTGCCTGGTCTCATTTTCTTTCTAATATTTCCTATGAAAATATTAAATTGACTATTTCACTCATGTCTGTCTGTGTAGTAAGTAACCAAGCAAGCAAGATATTGAAATTAAACCAAACTCAGATGACTATTACCTTTTTCTCTCCGCTGCAATAACTTTGTTGCTACACCTTTTTAAGATAAAGATAGCATAATCACTTGCAAGCATCAAATTTAAAATGTGTTATTTTCGTAATGTTTAAAAATCTGAAATCTATTATTCAGTGCCAAAAAACAAAAAGAAACAGACAAAGTGTGTGGAAGCAATTTCAAGAATTTTGTGACGAATAAAAATACAAACGTGCAACACAATCAGCAAATGAAGAAATTACACATATTGTGGGCAAATAATATGTGAAGATTAGATGGTGAAGAGCACAAAGAATATACTATCAAAACTATGTGGAACTATACAATCAAAACTATTCAGTAAAATACTTAAATGAGTACACGTGTACTCAAACCATTTGAAATTGACGAATCCCACTGCCAATTCAGCTTGTATATCTTCCACTTTAGATACTTCCATTGAATACCAAGACATGGAAAACTCAACTTCCTACAACATCAATAATTGTATTTTTTATAATGTTGTCAGTAGCTTTGTTATCGTTTTTGAAAGTTTTATTACCATAAAATCAAAACATATTTGAAATAATTTTCTGCATTAAACTGTTATTCATATTTTAACTTGACTATAAGTTATTCCAGGTGGCAGTGATAACTCTGAGTTGAATGAAACTTTCACATATTTCGATAGCAATTTAGAGTAATATCTCTCTTTCATAATTCCTGTGATTTTAATTATTTATTCGACTCACGCAATATCTTAATTCGTGAAATACACACACTAAATATCACTCTAAGTGCTTAATAGTAAATTCACTCCTCGCTACACGAGTCTTATTTACCGGCTATCACAGCACTTCTTATGATATTACTTATGCTTAATCTTCTCTCACCAAAAAGGTAGCTATGTGAATGATAGAACACTTTAAATTCAGACTAATTATAAACTTTCCACGTCGAGACTTATTATACTAGTATATGACTTCTCCAGCACTATGCACATGCTTGTTTAAATGTTTAATCATTTTCACACATGGTGACAAATGTGTCTGCTCATTTCCTTCCTATTGTCAGTTTTGATTCCACATCAATTTTCATTATTAACAGTATATTAATCCAAAAAAAATTTGAAAATACAATAACGATTTTTCATTTCAAATCCTCAGATCTTGCACATCAATTTGGGACAATGCAACTCAGTTCTGACATGTTTTTCTCTCCCCTCACCTTTCCTCAAATGATAATTTAAATTATTAAGAGAATTTCATGACTTCATTAAAACTGCATGTTAAAGAAAACCCTAATCAATTAAATACCGCTAATTATAAAATCAAAATTTCACATTCAATGCAAAATGACAAAGATGCGATTGATTTTCCTATTTCGATAGAGTAATCGACAGAAATTTAAACCTAAATTTCTCACACAGATCAAGAAAGAAAAATCTATTTGGCATCAAAATACTCTAATAAACTTTTACAAATGTGTAGACAAGCTAATTCTAAAATAGTCTCACAATTGCCTTTTCCCAAATTTCTCATCTAGACGAGAACGTGTTAATGATGTATCCCAATAATAACAATCCTATTCCACAAGCTACAAAATTTATGAGAATGTTAACTTATTAAATATAGCACTTACATATGGGCCCAGATGTACGGCACTTATATAAAAGGCATGCTTAGTTTAAAATAGAAAAATGCAAAAATTGCAATATACACTTTTATTTGAAATTCAGTGAAATACTCAGTCTCAAACTCCGGCTTTAAAATCAGTACCCATCAATGTAATTGACCTCATCCAACTGAGTGACACCTACAAGCAATTTGTAGTAGGTATTAAAAGCAAAATCCCAAGCATTCAAATATTTAAATTAGTGGATTATTAAGATCTAACAAGTGAAATTGAAATTTTTCACTATTCAGTCTCTTCACCTTTAACTCATCTAATATATATATTACATAAAGAAAATCAATTCCATTTCTAACTGAAAAATGGATCTAAGCTACTTCTACCTTTCTCTATTTTAAAGATTGATAGCAAAGTCTTGATCACCCAACACATACTGAATAAGTGAATTTATTAGGACCATAATCTGAATGTACAACATAAGGAGTCCTTTATATCAGCAGTAACATTTGAGAAAAATAAAGGACAACCATGGCATAATCCACAGCACAATGTGATAGCATATAAAGCTCATGTCACAAGCAATGTTGTGTCCTGCTTGTTCCACTTCACTTTCATTCAAGCGAATACAATAACAAAAATACAAACCCAACATTGCTCTATATCTGGGCTGCGTGCACTGAGCTTTTTAACATAGTGAAAGGCTTTCTTCAAACACAGCACCAGGCAAAATTTAAATACCTACAAAACAATGCTGCAAGTACTCTAAGTCACATCTCAAAACAGAAGCTTAAAAAATACCAATGCAAGAAATGGTACTCGTTCTTTCACTTACATCATTGCATTATAAACATCAATTTTAAGTGCCTAATTTATTATACATCCACAATTCCCCTTATCAACAGAATTGTTCAGTGTAAAATATTATGGCATGGTACACTTCATCATATATATCTCAGCAGTGTTAACTACAGTAAAGATCACACAGCAAAAAATCTCAATAATCCTCTGTACAAAGTAACTTACCTAATTGAACAACCAGAAATTCAAATTTAAACACACTGGAATAACCATTATTTGAAAAATGAAGTCTTCATGTATTATTCTACAAGGAAATAACTAATTAACCAATGACTTTTAACAGTATTTGGGTGCATAAAAATAAATTAAACCTTCCGTAGGCATAATTGTTGCTGCTTACAAATGCTTTCACCTAACAACAACAGAGATGCAAGGAATGTGTCATACTACAAGTTGAATCATCAACAGATGAAACCATCAGTAGAGCAGTTAACAGAGAAGGCCGGTCACATTTTCTCCCTTATGTATTTGTCATGTTATTATAATAACACAAAGAATAACCGGTGATAGCTTGCTATATTACTTGAATTGTAATTATTACTGAAAACCCTAGATGTACTTTTTAGTACATCCTCACCCCTACCCCTTTTATGTTTCCACAGCAACATGACAGTTCCTTCCAAACTATCTTCCACAGAGATAATCTGTTCTCTTTAAACATATCACTTCCAGAACAGTCCCCCAAGTCCTGTCAAATATTTGAATTACTGCAGGTTGGTTTGCTGTTTAAGGTGTACAGCAAGCCTTCTTGGCTGCACTACTCTCGTCTGTGGGTTCCACATGGATGGGTTTCATGTTGCCGGACGGCGTGTCTTCGTCTGGGCTGTCCGGAATCTGCTTCTGAGACACGATGCGGTAGATTTCTGCATGAAAGAAATCCAAGGTCATTGATGTATCAATATTTACATTATTGGCACCAGGCTCCCAGTGTGTTCCTAAATGAACTCTCCTAGCATTCTAAACCATGGCACAATCTTTATAAAACATATTGGTTATCAAAAATCTTATTGGAAACTTTTATGAATTATTGAACCATTTAAAAAATTAATTAATGCAATAAAAAATGTAATGTAGGTTCCAAAATTGTGTGTATTGAACAAAGAAAAGCAAAACCATTTAATTACAATTTTCAGCATTTTACAACAAAACCATTCCAGGCATGAAAACAAGATTAAATAATACACAAATACCTTAAAACTTGCAGATCATTCACACAAGTGATGGAATTCAAAGTCACATTCTTATTCAGCAATACAGATGTCATTTCAATTACATTTAATCAGAGGATAAGGAGTTGCCTTTTTCTACTTGATTGGACTCAAATACCTCCTAATAATACACACACCTCGTATTCCATAAATAAGATGAATGCTACTATTCAAGTCACCCATTAACTAGAGATCTTGGGATGATTAGACAACAAACCAGCTGTTGTCTCAACAGCAATCATAAATACTGCACTTCAGCTCCAGATAACTCAATATATTTATATTCAAATTAATACAGATTCATCCCAGTAGCATGCCAAAATGGTGGTTAAAATGCTTATCTAAGTATCACATTTTTACACTGATATGAGTAACACAATCTAGATACCACTTTCACATAATATAATGCAACCAATTAACTACAACTAGGAATCACTACAATGGCAGAATAGGAATAGTTCTATATAAAAGACTATTAATTAACCACATTTGAACATCCTAAATGCAGTTACACTTTAACAATATGACTGATCAGCTTTATTCTGATACACATTTGCATGCTTCAGAAAATAAGGAAAATTCATGCAAGGAGAACTCTGGTATTTTTTATGAAATATTTTACAAACAATATTGCATGCAAAATGGGTCAAACAAAATTAATAGAATTGAAAGATTTAACGAATGCCTTTGAATTCATATATGAGGTAAGACAATATTTAAGATGAACCCAAGAGGTTTTTGAAAAAAAATAATATTTTTTTGTAATTTCAATGGACATAACCCTGATAAGAATGAATTAGTGGCACTTGAAACAATACATCTGCTTGTGACAACAGATACTATATTAAAAAAGAACTGTATACACAGCAACAGCTTTGGTAAACGTTAAGCCTACAGAAATTGGGAATATGCATTGAATAGAGTACATAAACTAAAGATGCATCTTTCTATTATTCACATGTCACACCAATTACACAAACTGAATCCACCATTTCATCATGTCCATTGAAAGCCATGCTCCTGAGCTGAGTTAGGGTTGCTACAAGATGTACAGAACCTGTACGTGCGTCAGTCACTGGCAACACTGCTTGCGGACACTGTCCGTGTTCACCGTCGGCTTCACATCAATTGGCTCCACATTTTGCGGTCGAATTGTGTCCCCTTCTGGGGGGTCACGGATTTGCTTCTGAGAAACGATCCGATAGATTTCTGCCCAAAGGGTAGGAAAAAAAAAAAAAGAAAAGAACTTAGAAAAATTTTCATAAAACAAAACTGGACACAGATAGGATAAGAATGGAAAGTCAAGATAAAGGGAAAAGCTGAAAATAAAATTGGTTAAGCATTTTTACACAAAATTAAGAAAAGCCACTTTAATTTCTAAAAGGAGCAGAAGTATTTCAATATCAAGTATTGTCTAAATATTTGGTATAAAAGATTCAAAAATTTAAAAACAAAACCCGCAATTTGAAAATTAGGCTTGCAATAATAGGAGGGGGAAAACATATTTTTCTATATTCCATATTCATTATAATATGTCACTCTAAAATCTTTGGGCTTATTAGTGTAATATAATTAAATTGACATTACAGAACTGAAGAGAGACTGCATAATACAGAAGGTTTTAAGTCATGAATGCAACACACTTTTTTTTTATATTTCAATGAACCACAATCTATTGCAGAATTAAATTATTTTTATATTTGTATCAAATGAAGACCTCAAATCAAATGAAGAACAAAAGGGAGAAAGCACGAAAAACAAGTTCATAATAAATGCAAATTTAAAAGTATAAAATTGATTAAACAGTATATATTGCTGCTACTTAAACACATAATATGACAAACTAAACAAATGACTATTTAATTTTCTTTCTATCAAAACACACATCATGAAAGAGGATAAAACTCACGCCAAGAACTAATTTTTAATCAAAAATTGAACATCTCTCTTTTCTTCTTCAGGGTCTTCAAACACTAATTGTCAAAATTTTCTAAGGAACCATACAGATATAAAAATGACGTAAGAATTACTCTATTTCCTCATTACTAAACATTACTACTCTCTTTTTCCCCATCAAGTTTTTGTTCCATTTTAAGCAACACTCAAATCATTTTCCTATTGAATATTTAAGAGATACTTTCAGTCTCTCCCACCCAATAACAGAGCACACAAAGTTTACATAAAAAGTTGACAAACAACTTATATCTTCATATTTAAGTATACTACCTCAACATGGGTTGCCACCTATCCAATATCTTTTGGGGGAAAATAGCACCCAATATTAAAAGCCAATTGTCTAATAAAGCGTAGAAAAGTTTAGGCAGCTATTACATTTGGAAAATTAGTTGTCTGTGTATTCATCTCATTCAACCTAGCATAACAAATGGACTGATACTAAAAATATGAATTCAATATCATTAGTAAAAATTGAATTTATGATACCAATAAACAAAAACATAACATGCAAAGAATTTCAAACAATTATCAAAATTGAGTTTCAAATTTTGAGAGCAGCAAGACAATTCAAAATAAACAGGGAAAAAAAATGTATGGTCAATTTGCCTGACCAAATATCCCATAAATGCGAATTTGCTTCTTAAGCAAACAAATATGCTATGTCTTATTATTATTAATAATGGCTAAATATCACGTTTAAATTATTTCTGATTTTGTTCCTTAAGTTTGGGATACGTCCCTCATTTTTAGGATCTTTTAAAAAACATCTCGAATTTCACAGATCTAATGATATCCTACATAATTCCTGAACCCTGCATACCATTTTTATTGCAATATGATTAAAATAATTTTTCATGCAAACCGCAAGACTAATATTGCATGTTACTTTGTCATGAAGGAAAACACAGTATAAGTTAAAGAAGAATAGAGAGATTGCACTGGGAAGAAAGTATCATTACAAAGAACTTCTGAATCCATGCAATAAAATATGCTAATAATGCATGAAGGAATAAGCGACAAATGACTAATGATTGAAATCAGGAATAGGATTTCTGCCACTACTATAGAACAACATTCTAAGGGAATGGAGATTAATATTATATTATAATAATAGTAATAGTTTATCACTAATCTATCATTAAAAACTAGGATTCAGCTAGTATGAACCACTGTGAGAACATCATGCTCTATGTGCAAATGTTTGCTTATAAATTATTTTAGTAAAGGTATATACTCTTTACCCTATGGCTTTACTATACTTCATTAATAAATATTACTATTATTCAAAAAAATGAGAATCGATCTCCTATTCATCGCAACTATTACTTGTGAGCAGTCATGCATCGTACAAAGAAAATGTGGAATAAAATTTGTAAGTATGTGTTCATATAAACCTTTAATTTTTGTAAATTTTTAAACATATTTGCAAGATAAAAATAACTAATATATGACTGTCTTAAAAACTTACCAGTAAGTATATTCTGGAAGGCTGTCTCCACATTGGTGGAATCTAATGCTGATGTCTCAATAAACGAAAGCCCATTTCGTTCTGCAAATGCCTTTGCTTCGTCAGTTGGAACCGCACGCAAATGCCTCAAATCTGATTTATTGCCCACAAGCATGATCACTATATTCTGATCTGCATGGTCCCGCAACTCTCTCAGCCATCTCTCCACATTCTCGTAAGTCAGATGTTTTGCAATGTCATAAACTAGAAGTGCCCCAACAGCTCCTCTGTAATACCTGCAAAAAGTCACAAAATAAACACTCAATTCAAATCCTTACACACTTACTTACTTTTTAAGATCAAAACAATTGTAAACCGCATACTAGCAATTTGTGAAGCCTTACAAGTAACATACATGGCTTCTCTAATTGGACCAAAATAAAGACCTTAACTGATTATAAGTATTCACATAACACAATTTCAAATACATACGCTGAAGTAATAGCTCTGTAACGCTCTTGACCAGCAGTATCCCAAATCTGAGCTTTAATCGTTTTCCCATCAACCTACAACAAGATTAGCACAAATTCGAACATGTTGAAGGAAGATAAAACTATTAAAATTAACTGATTTTCTACTGCAAAACCTGTACCTGTATACTTCTAGTGGCAAATTCCACACCAATAGTAGACTTTGACTCTAAATTGAATTCATTTCTTGTAAATCGAGAAAGAAGATTACTCTTACCAACACCAGAATCTCCTATGAGCACCACTGCAACAAGACAAAAGAATTTATGTTTAAAAACAAGTATTTGCGTGAATGGATGATCAACTATTGAGTCCAATATCAACTATACTCCAATAAAGAGAATGCACAGAAAAACCACAACTGTCCTTCACAAACTGTCATTGAACATTAAAGAAATACATTTATGCTTGACGTCAAATTACTGAAAAATATCTTGACTACATTAACCCGGAATAATTGTGAAGCCGACAAAACCTGCATTGAAATCTGTCAGTAGGCGTATAATGACACATCATACTTGAAACGTCAAACCATTGTGTTAATGAACTTCACAAGAATGCAAAAGGCGACAGAAATAATATCACAAATTTGAAGTACACTGTAGCATTTAACAACACTTTAACACACAGCATTTTAGACGTAGGATGAAAAAATTCAATACCTTTGAACAAATAGTCGTATTCGTCATCTCGGGTGCCCATCTTTTAGTTGGAATTTACACCCTCCTCTGGGTGGAAAAATCAATATCTTCGATACAAACGGAATAGATTGCGAAAAAACCTATCGTAGTTGCTTGATATATTATGAAGAAATATATAATACAGTTCTTCACCAACTTAATCACAGGATGCTTCAGATATATCTAAATACACTGAACGAATAATTTACTGAACCAAGAAAATGTCACAATATGGCTGCTACCTCCTACGCCCCTTCAACTGCGCATGCGCAGCACCTCGTCATCGGTCAAGATCACTGCCTTGTTGATATGTACTTCTTTTGAATAGTGTTACAATATTCTTTGAGGAAATATTAAAAGTTCCAATTTCCACGACACCCGTCTTAATTTTATTAGCTTCTAAATAAGAATCTTTTATTAACTTTAAGTAAATATATCAATACAGATGATTAATATTTTTTATTCGGGGTAGCTGTAATTGTGTTACATATGTTTAATTTCAGTAATAATTTGAAAAAACACATTATTTTGAGTAAATAATTAAATTTGAATCAGGACCAGACTTTTTTTATGCAAAAATGTTACAATGTAAACTGCAAAAGGAGTGTGTGTTTATTTAAACATATATACAGGCTGCAGTACCTCAGCATAAGCGCTGTCAGCTGGTTTGACAAGTCAGCTGATTATCGTACTGTCGTGTTCTTAGCGTTTGAATACAACATGAAAATCACAAGGAATCATCAATTTGCTATTTCATACTTTCAGTTTTGAAATTATGTGCTATTACATTTGAAGCCTTTTAAATTTATGAATTTGTATGAGCTAAAAATTACACAATTTTTTTGTCTCTTATTTCAATCCAAATTACGGCTGAAAATAATACGTCCATAATGACGTCTTTGGGAAAATTAGTTTTCATTGATCAGCGGACTGGTGACGATGATTCGTATTTGACGGCAGAAGATCAGAGATTAACTTTAGCGTATGAGAATTTGGAAGAGATGCCACAGAATCTAGTATACAACTTTGGAAGTTTTGTCCGTATACTTGACCTGAGTCATAACAAGTTCAGGTGAGTGATATTTTATTTTTTAATTGAATATGTCAAACTGACATTTGTCCAATGAACTTATGTATGCCTTGTAATTACAATGTTCATTTTAATAAGTTGGTTGTGTGCTACCACAACATAAAATCAAGTTATGTTCAGAAAAACTGAAAGCTGAGACAATAATCAAAACTTTATGTGAATAATTTGGATTATTCTTTGGTTATGAGGTTTTTGTTGTTTTTATTTATTTATTTTACTACTAAGTAAAATCTTGTACCTGTAGTACTATTGCCCCTTCAGTTATTTTATTTTATTTTTAACTTTTATCAGTAATTACTTTATATTAAATAACAACAAAATGACCTAATGTTTCAGATGCTTGGATTTTCTTTGTCACTTTGAAAATTTGTCTTCCTTAATACTGGATCATAATGAAGTTGATTCAAATGTGCAATTTCCAAGCCTGCCAAGTCTCAAATTGCTATGGTTAAATCACAATAAAATCAAAGATCTTTTTCCTTTTATTCGTAACTTGAATAATAGTGTACCAAATTTAAAATACTTGAGTCTGATGGGCAATGCTGCAGCTCCCAGTTATTTAAATGGAGGTACTTTCTATGAATACTTACAATACAGGTATGTTTAAAATAATATTTCATGTGTTTTATGTAAACAGCATTGAGGAAAAATAGCACCAGAAATGAACAGTGAATAGTGTTGTTTCTGGTAGCTGTATTTATAAATTGAACTATTGACAACAAACAAGCTTGTTATTTTTCTGAATTTTTTGTTTATTATATTGTTTTAACAAAGTGTTCAATGTAATTTACACTGTCATTTATAATAATTGGTAATTGTTATATAGGTTGTTTGTCATATCATGGTTTCCTAATTTGATACATCTCGATGATAGAGCAGTAACTGAAGATCAGAAAAATGAGGCTCATCGATTGTTTAGAAGACCATTTCTTGAGAGATTGTCAATTTCAACCTCACGATCCTCTTATTTACGAGTTATTCAAGAGAAATTTGTGAGCTTTTTTGGGAGTGTTGAAAGATACTTTCCTAATGCACAGAATGCTCGAAATACAGTTATTTAAACTATTGATCTTAAGTATTCTGTGATGCCTTTGCACAGGTTTCTTTTTCGATCAGGTAATAAGAAGGTAATGTGTAAATTATTGTGAACAAAATGTTTAATGCCTTTTATTGGTGCCTTTTACTTAGGCAATTTTGTATGATTATAAATTGTCAAAGTTAAATTTTTGTCATATTCTTGCACACTGGTTAATGTGCACATCTGAATTAACTTGTTTATAATTTTATAAATGAAGATTTTATTATGTCAAGAATCTCTATATGTATATTTGTAATATTCATTGTTTGTTATATTTTTTAATATTTTTCACATTTTTGTAAATGATGTGTATGCTTGACAAGTATTATATATGTAAATATGTATTCAGTAAATCCGATCTTTTATTTTAGGATCTAAGAAACAATTAGGACACAAAGTTTTTTTGAATTATTACTTTATTCAGTCAATAATATAAATAACAACACAGTTCTTATGCATTTAAAGGTCAACTCAGAACTTTTAATGTTCTTAAAAAACAATAACAAAAGAATGTTTAAAAATAAGTTTATAAAAAGGTGTGACACATTCACATAGTAACTGGAATGAATTTTCATAAGTCTATTTATAAATAAGTCTAGTCTGTCAACTAAAGTACTAATAATACTAATACATTAACTTAATTTATTTATCTCAATTAACAACATTAGGAGCATTTTGGCCATCAAGTTTCTTCATCACTTGTAATTTACATCTCTATTAGCACACAGTAGTCAAAAGAAGTTCATACAAAATCTCATTAATTTTCTATTTCTTGTAATCAAAATGATGTGTGTGAGAATCTCTCCACAACTCCAAGTTGACCACAGGAATGGAATCGTAGTCATGACAAGGAACAATTTGATTGCTGTGGAAAAAAATTAAATATTTAGTTTTGAATTATGCAAATATTTTGCTGCAATTGCTTTGTTCAACATAATCAAAGAGATCATACCCAGGAGATAACTTCTTAAAACCTTTTGGCTGCATGGAATATATTTCATCACCATTGTCGCAAAATAATCTTGATATACTTGCCTTCCTGATTTCATTGAGTTGTTCTACAACCACAAAGATATTGTTAATGACACTCATGTTTTTATGATAATGATTACATTTTCTTTGGTTAACAATAAATTTAATCATTGACACTTGCTGTTAAAGCTTCCTTTGTTTTATATAAAATATTTTCATGTACTTACCCAAGGAGAAAGAGTGATGTTTTTCTCCATTTTCATAAAAGTATCTGTCACCAACTCTAGTGCGGTAAAACTGTTCTACTAAAACACATAAGAAAGTAGGTCCAGATAGGGTACCTTCCACATGAGCTTCTAAGGATCCTCCAACAGTGAAATCAACATCATCTGGATGAGCATAGAGTTTGGCAAGCTTTGCCACATTCTGAAATAGGACAAAAAAAAAAGAGGCCAACACTAAATAAAACAAATAAAATATAAGACGACAATGGAGATCTTAATCATATAAAAAATGAGCTCAACTGACAAAGAAAAAAAATAAAGTTAAAACATGATGGCATACATAATTTATATTGTGGAAAAAAATTGTTTGTTTCTACACCGTAAAATGTAGAGAACAATTGGCCAAATCTTCTACTTGAATGAGGAGTCCATTATTGGAATTAATAAAAATTTAGTTACGGGGCATTTTTTATTATTATTATTATTATTATTATTATTATTATTATTATTATTATTATTATTATTATTATTACTATTATTATGTATTATTATTATTTGTTTTTTATTATGCTCTTCGTGGCCTGTATTTTTTTGCCTTCTATAACTGAAACAAGTAGTTACGGTGTTCAAAAGAATGTTTCCTTGAAACATAAATTGGGTTTCTGTTGAGAAAAAATCTTTCAAAAGCTGTTCTATCATTTGCTATATGTTGCTCACTTTACCCGCCTCCACACATTTCGACCGACCGGCCTGCCTCGTTTAGTATTCCGTGTAACTAATCAGGCGTCTAGACGTATTGCAGGCTGCATCGTTTTCAATAACGTTTGTGGTGAAGCGGTATTTGAATTAATATTGTGGAATTACTATCCCCGCACCGTTTTTCCTCGATTGCTCAAAAGACACCGAGAAAAATTCAGGAGCAATAGTTTCTGTCGTTCACAAGTTCTGGAACATTCACTTCAATGTTTACACTATATATAGATAGGACAAGCGGGAAGGGAGAGGAGCCTTCACATGAACCCGTAAAAAACAGTGTCCTCGAAAAAACTTGTAAAAAGAAATAAGAGCAACAAGTTATCAAAGGGCAGATCTTCCTCAAATTCGTCGTGATTAGTTTACTATTAAAATATAAGAAATAGTAACGAAAAGGCATGTATATGATAGGCAACTATATGATAATTAATGGCTTACTAAGCAGATGGCTACATCGTACATAACTTGTGTCAAGCGATAATTATAGGGCTATTTTATTATTTATAAGCATACTTTTTGAAAGTGACACCGACCGGTGCCTGTACCTTAGTTACTTGTACATATACTATTCCTATATGCATACTTAGCATTATTAATTTTTTCGCCCCCTTTTAATATTTATTACTTAAATATGACATTACGATGGTGCAACTGCTTAAGTCTCAATTCTAAATTATCAATAATTATGCTTGGAAATCACAGTGTTTATAAAGTTCGTGTTCAATCCAACAACTTTGGTACTCCTACGTTACATATTCACATAGTACCGAATGAATTCCTTGCAACCACAATCGTTTCAGAAGTTGCTTTCAGCCTGTTACGCTGTGGACGTTTTGGGAGAAAAGGGAGAGGAGCAGCTAGTTGGTATTGACGATGCGAGAAAAAAATTCTGGAACTAGAACATGTACAAATAAAAAATCATGTAATGAAATTAACGGTGTTTCGCAGATAACTCCTAAACAGGGACAGATTGTATCGGTTTCATATGAATAAGGAAGCTCATAATCCAACTTAATAATTTATCATTTCATGTTTGTCATCTATGAGTGTGTGGTAATACTCAGGAGAGTGCCCATCTCTTTTTGGGGTGTATTTTCCGATCGAGATTTAAATTTGAATGTAATTAACAGCAAAACATTAGAAAAAGATTAAACTAGATCGCTCATAAGCTAGTTGTAAAAATTAAAATGTTAGCTCTGTAATGAGTAAACTAAGGGAAGTGCAGATCCTATTTTTCAAGGGTTAAGAGTTTATTCAATTCGTTGATCGCAGCGAGCTGGTATTGCTTATTTGCCGAAGGACCTTATAAGCAAATGCAGAAAATAAACTACCTCTCTGCTGATGTAATCTCCAAAATCCTCGAAACTGCGGGCCTTGGGAAGCCCACAGAAATGTCGATAGTCGTTGTATGAAGCAAGGCCATGATCTCGACCGCGTTGAATGTCAATAGCTCGCAAATCTTGACCAAAAGGCCTACCGTTTCGGAAAAGGAACTTCGTGATCTGTTTGAAAGAAAACATCAATATAATAAAATATAGTAAAGTGTCGAGTCACAAATAACGTGCATCAAGGGGAAGAAAACCTACTTCACTTGTGAAGTATTGGTCAACTGCTTGTTGCGGCTGAGTTGCCAAACCTCGGATCAACTTATCCATGTTGTCGCCTTGTTCAATAACTTCGGGCCGGTTAAAGTGATCACTGAGACGCAGTGCTTCATAACTTTCTCGGTGTTCTCCAACCAATCTAAAAAAAATTACCAATCATTTTGGAATGTATTTTTTTAGTTCCTTTCCCCGTATGAGAAGAATTCAGCTATCTTACTTGAGGAATCCTTGGATGGCTGAATGGAAATATCGGAAAGCAGCCGTAGCGTGACCATTCAGGACGCTGGGATCAACATGAGGGTCGTAATCGTTGGTATAACCGTGAGTCCCGTACGTAAGTCCATGGCGTCTGGTGTTCTCCCAGCCTGGAAAACAGAATATTCTTATTAATTTCTTATCCCGAAAGATATTTGAAGACTTCACTACTATTCTGTACTATATTCGTACCATAACGTTTTTGTTCCATTTCGAGTCTGAGAGTTGAAAATAATTAAATGTAATACAAACAGAAAAGCATTTACCAAGAAAGATGGGAAGCCATTCGTAGTAAGAGATGTGCTGGTGTTCAGCGATAACGATACGACGCGCTTCCTGGTACAGGGTTTCATCGTCCCAGTGGGGGTTGATGTGAGCCAAAGCATTGGCAACTCGGTTGTGTTCACGCAACAGGATAATTTGAAGAACCGTCAGCTGGGGGTTCTGATTCACACGCTGGTCACCTGGAAATAATATTGAATAATATACTTCCGTGCATTTATTTATTTGTCGTCAAAAAATAGTTAAAACTGTATGTGACGTATCAATGAGGAATATAATTTGCGCACGTTTTCCCGAGCTTCAAAATCCCCTCTCTTTTACTAAAGGTTACGCAGGTAAATTATCAATAAAGATACCAAAGAAAGAGTAATAATGGTAAAGTAAGAGTAAAGAGTAAGAGAGAGTAATAATAATCCGGGTAATAGAGAACGGGCTAAAAGAGTAAACAGGAAACGCTTTCAGAGCGCCTGGCCAAATTTATGCATATTTTATGTACAACATTCGGATGTCTGCGGATTGATTGGAAAAATAATATCACTATTGTGCAATAAACTCAAGGTAAGGTCAAGTTTCACTATTTCGAGTTTGCCGTTTATAGGTACTCATTTGGAGCTCATATCTTTTCCCAGAATTATTTCGATTACACTATGTATTATTTATATTTGTAGATACACTAAGAGCAAGGGAATCCTATTTTGGTTTCATTAAAAGGCACACGCTGAAAAAATCAGCGAACTTTCTTATAAGACACCTTGCAGGTGAGAATTATTGCATTACCCTCCACAACCACTATTTTGAGTTGATTTCCTGATGGCACTTGCAGGTTACTAATCGAACAAATATTAATTATCCTAAACAAATATTGAGTTTAGAGGACATTTTATCACTATAAAAAGGCCTAGTGAAAAGAACAGATGTTGGAAAATTTCCCGATAGACAATGACATTACAAAGAAATCTGAATGCAGGCGAAAGTAATATTTGTTCTATCCATTATCAGTTTCAGCATTATCCGTTGAAGATTGTTTCTTTTTCACCGTGTGTAATTTGAAGGTTAATTAATCATGAACTGCATGTATAGGTAGTAAAAAAGAAAATTAGTTCTATAAAAAAATAAAAAGACACTTGTCACCGGCTGTTGCTTGCATATTCACAATTGTTTCTAGGTCGTTTTCTGCGGAACTCAGAGGAAATGTTGAGATGGTAATTTGTTTGCATTTGGGTAGTAATTGAAGCTTTACACCTCCCAAATTACATGCAGTGGAAATTTACGTTTCTGTTAATTAAATTTTTTCATAAAATTGTTATTAAGAGTGATTGTGAGGCCGGATGTTCGATCCGACAAGGTTCTACATATTTACGAGTACTTGAAGTGTTTAACACACGTGACTTTGTGGCGTCAGACGGAATCGGATTCGTTGACTAATTAACCTGATCAGTGCTTTCCTGGTCGCTTCCAGGCGAATGTCGGATCAGCGCTCTAGAATTCTGGCCAGGACCTTGCGCGATCCTACGTCCCTGCTTCGCCCTCACCCTCATCCTTAAGGTTGAGCGATCGGCCAATCACTGATCCTCGTATGTCATCGAGTCCCTCGAGGCGCTGAATGAGACTTGTGAAGGGGAAATAAACGGAATAACAAGGAACTACTTGAACCCGCGAGAACATGCCGCATGTTGTAATTCATTGTTTTCAATGGCTTCTTCCTGGACCCCAACTTTAGGACAGAACCTGAATTGCCCATGGAAGCATTGTAAGTCCATTAAGACGGACTCTTTAATGCATCTATTTAATTTTACTACGGAATGACGGAACCACGAAAAAACTGGACAGAACGTCCAAAAAGTTCTGATTTTGTAGATTACGATATAGCAAATATAACCCATGTCTCTTGTGGGGTCACAAAAAAAGGACGGTTTGAGGATAAATCGTTTCCGAGTTATGCACTACAGTAACGTGTGTTGCGGCGTAATGTTAAATGCGGGTTGCATGTGCGCTTGATAATCCAAATATGACATCCATAGCAAACTTCTGTTTTTAGTCTTAAATTTGTTTGGCGGACCCTTGGGATGGTAATTTCCTTCCCATCTTTAATACATTTACAGGATTTTGTGTCCAGAAAAACAGTTTTTGTCACATTTCCTCAGGTACACACATAATACATAGAGTGGATAGTAACACAGTCGTAAAATATACATACGATTCTTTATTGAATGCACACCGCTCTTCGTTAACTAATAATTAATCTTCAAAACAATTAGTTAAGAAGTCCAATAATACAATTAAATATCTAATCTGTTAACGTTACCTGCGTAAACAATATGATCCTACGTATTTCTAAAAAAAATGTATTAAATGTTTATGCCACTATCTTAATTTAATTTCTGAAAGTAAAAATCAGTATATTTTTATTTTACTGCGCACATACTCAAGTTGTGAACGCAGCTTGCTAGGATGGTCATTATGACTTACCGGCGAGGTAGCACGGCTCGTCCTCGGCCATGTGGTCGCAGGCTGCGGTCTTGTTGGGCGCGGATGGCGGGTAGATCTTGCCGTGGCGGATCTCGGTGATCAGTCGGCCCTTGCGGCCCTCGCGCAGCTGTGCGGCCGCTTGCGCCGTCGATCCGTACACCAGAGATGCGTCCAGGTAGTGGGTCACTGCGGTTAACTGCACCCAAACACGCACACGACACGGAATTAAACACCAACGCCTAGTTTGTTCCGGAGGTTGATGTTTTCGGGCACGTCAACTGCTATGGTATATTGTCCCGTTAGTGTAGTGAATGATTTATGGTAGATGGAATGGTTTAAGGAAACTGATATATACTCGTACTGTCAATATTACTTGCAAATTTCAGTCTGAAGTACAAACGTGAGTGTTAATTGTGTTTTAAAGAGACCAATCAGAGAAATGCCGAAATAATACAACGAGAAAATCATGAAAATTCCAAGCAAAGCGAATAGCTCATGTTTCACTTTGCGAAATAAATTCAAGTTGATCAGTTAGGTTAGGATTTCATTATAAAATATTTTCCATCAGTTCAAGCAAATTTGGTACAAAATTATAAGTCAAGGGCATTATTCTAGTATTTCACAAAGAAGAAAACAACAACTTACATCAGGGACTAGTGCGGGGATAAGTTAATTCGACGAAACTTACTTGTTCAGCTGGCTTGAAGTTCTTCGCGCAGCCCGATGAGATGTCTGTGGTGGTACGCACGAAGTTCATGCACTGCTGGCCGACTTTACTGTAGACTGGGTCGTGTGGGCCGAGGATAATCGGGAAACACGAGGGGGCGGCGTATTGCTTGGGAATGGCGACGCTCCCGTCGGCCGTGCAGCAACGGGTGGCGTGCGCCTCTGCGGAGAGGCAATTCCTTTTAACATTCAGGGTCTAGTTTCGTCTATAAGTAATCTTAAACCAGTGAAGTCGTTGCAGAAATCGAAACAAAGCTGTTATAAAAATAAATCTCCATTATTTAAAGAGAAGGGCAGTAAAAGTCGTCGCCAGACTATGGGATTTCAGATAAGTGTTTAATTTTTTGTCTCACAATCAAAACACTGATAGAATTGTGTGAATACGTCATGAAGTTTCGTGGATTTTATTATTTTTTTTAGAAGAACGTTTTATAAATGCTAATTCAGGTTGGAGCACATTTAAAGAAATTCTTAATTAAATGTCTTACGTGTGAGTCTCTTTCGTGAAATGCTATCTTTAAATATCATTAGAATGTATTTCTGTACAGAAGGCAGAGAAATTCCTGAAAAATACTCCTCGAAGTCCGATTTGTGTTACACGTTGAGTTGATATGAACACATTGAATGCATTCTCTTCAGAATCATGAGAGTTAATAGAGAATAATATACTAAAACTTGTATGAAGTCGACGAATGGATAGATTTGAATACGTAGTGATAGACAAGAGAAATAGGATAACTTTTTTGCATTATTAATTTTCAAGACAAATTTTGTGATTAGCGAAAATCAGTAATTTGCTTGTAACATTTAAGGAGAAGACTCGTATTCTTGACATTCGTTTAATTTACCTTACCAAGTATTTATTTTGTATGAATAGTATATTAACGCATTTATCTCGAAAGAAACGAAAACAATTATTAAACGTGATACATTTTGTTACATTTTTTTCGAATATTTTGTAGGACCATCAAAGATGGCCCTTGTCATAGGTGAGAAGTATTATTTTATGCCGGCAAATTGTTTAAAGTATTAACCACTCCCACGAGGGATAGAATTTGGGACTCCTAGATTACGTCTTGTACCTTTATCACTATGCTAGCGCCACGACCAAACGGATTCTTGAGCGTATGTGATTCTGCGACTCCTCAGATAGTAATCACATTTGAGAGTTGCAATCATCACGTGTTCAAGTACAGAGACACATCTCAAAAAGTGTCATTTTGGAGTGATAACGGTTTTATCCTGATCAGAATTATTTATTTCGTGCCCAACAACGAAGTGTTTTACTCCACACACCTGCTATCTAGTGAACTATCTTTTTGAAATGTGTTCTAGCAAAATAGTGTGTATTTAATACTGAAATAGTGAATTTTTGATAATAAAAACTGAAGTTGATTTAAAGACGACGATTTTTTAGAAGTGTCGCTTTTCTCGTGCTCCTTCTCCCTGATGAAACGGCCCAACTCACTGGCTTGCGTGGTGCCGGCCGCCATCGACATGTCGTGAGTGATGATCTGCCCCCACTGCATAGCGGCCAGCGTCCACTTGGGGTCGTTGATTTCGGCGTCCGGGAAGAGCACGTGGCTGACGAGGCGCGAGGGCGGCAACTGCTTGCCCGTCACGGAGGTGGGCGGCACCTGGATGCCTGCAACAACCGCGGCAATGCGGCGCTTCAGCTGAGCCGGCCCACTTCACAGCCGCGCGGCGAGGCCAACGGCGTGGGAGACCTCCCGAAACACGCGTTACCGTTTACAGCGCCTCGTATCTTCCGTCGCCCCCAATTCCTTTTGGCGCTTTCAGTGCCGGATTCACTGGAGGCACGGGAAGTCCCCTCCCCGCCCCGAAAGCCAAACACTTTTGTTTAATTTTATACAATTTATTCAAAATAAATACCGTTTACATCTCATCAAAAGTGTATTCCCCTTGAGAATATACTAGTATTTATTTATTTCAAGGAAAAAACAAAAAACATATTTATGGGAGATTCGAACTGAAACTGACCCTCCACCCGCAATTCTTTCCGGAATTTCCCATCGTATCAACTCCATGACCACATAATTACAGGTTTAACAGTTTGACTACAGGGATATGAAACACTAAAAGAATTGGAAAAACTGTTTTCTATCAAGACCAGTGTACCTCTACGATATAGACAGTATTTGTAAATCCTGAAAAGAAATTTAATGATAATAATAATAATAATAATTATATTATTATTATTATTATTATTATTATTATTATTATTATTATTATTATGAGCATTCTTGACACCATTGAGTTCTACCAAGTCAATGACCCTAAAAATATGGATCTATAGAATACGAGTAGATTATGGCTTTTCTGTAACTCTCCAAAAGTGATTCACTTCCCCGCGCAATGTTCGGACCATAATATAATTAAATATGTGTAACGTAACTATTTACTTAAAACCATTTTAAATAGGACAAAAGTGTAATGTTCAGTCTCCGTATATTATTACTTTCTTATGTACCTTGTAAGGGAACAAGTTGGCAATAAAGCTGACACGTTTTCTTTTCCACGACATTGTTCTTTGGGGAAAGGAAATTGCTTGTCCTCGACTTGAGTTACCCTTGGAAGAGGAATCGAGAAACTCTTCGCGATATTCCTTGATATTCACTACTCACCATCAGCGTACTTGGCTGGCTTCACGCGGTTGTATGTTGTCATGGCCATGCCCCATGTTGGGTTGTGCAGATTATTGCAAGATCCGTCAAATGTTCGGTATTTGCCGTTATTACAGGGTCCGGGCACCTGAGGGCATTGCTGTTGTCCAAAACTACCCAGAACGTTTAGCGGAGAACCTTTGAAGACATCTCCGAAACTGTAAAGAAATAGCACGAATTAATGAGAACAATATTTTCGCTATATATACAGAAAAAACATACTTGTAAATTTATTTTCCCTAAATGAAACCAACGGAATGGGACTAAACGCAAGCGATGAATCACTGTGTGAGGCATTTTATATTAATAGTGGCTTCTGTTTGCACAGTTCAACACCTAATATGCTTCCAAAATGATTTTATATGTCTAATTCAGCTGTATAGAAATTTTTGGAACAAAAATTCTCAGATGAAGACAGTCAACGGTTTATATTATGTACAAACTGTTTTAGATGTAAACTCTTTTAGAAATAGTAGATGCGAGACCCATTCCCCGATGGCTGATACCCAAGTATTCTAGTTTCAATTTTCTACTGAATGTTCGTGTCCTTAAAGTTAAGTTGTATAACCAATGTCTAATATATGAAAGTTAAAATGTGTTTTATATTTAAATACGGTGTAGTCACAGAATTAATTTAACCACATGACCACCCCACTGATTCACATCGTTTTCCTTCCAACTATTGCTTAACTGTACAAAAAATGGGAGAACAGTAGTAGGAGGTGGGTCCTAAAATTCCAATGTAGAGCTTCTGCTAAACGGGTCCCTGGTGTGTGGAAAATCTGATTTTGTATTTCTATCTTCATCAACAGTTTCTGAACATTAAGTTTAGATTGCTCGGGCTTGGCGAGGGATCCAACTGATTTCATAACTTTAAAGACCACGTCTACGTTCTCTTGATAAATAATTGCAACTGTAAGTCTTGCGAATCGTACTTTTCATGCCATTGCGCTACCTTCAACAAAATTTTGCAATGAGAATGAAATAAAATAATATGAGTTTGTTTCACGACTTTTTTTCTTTCAAACCATATAATCCTTCAGCACTACTTAAGAAGGCTAAGATATTTCCCGCCAAAAATCTCACCTATAGTGAATGCATTATTTACATCATGGTTTATTTTACTTTGCATCTTTTTTTTTAAGTTATTCCGTTTTGCGTTAGAGCTATGCTGATTAATTTATTCTTGTGTAAATGGAATAACTACATTTATGTTTATTTCATGTCATGGGAAAAGTAAAAAAATAAATTTCCTTAATTTTTATTGAATTTTTCTTTCAGCATTTGTGTATTTGGCTCACAAGCAGATATGGTCATTTCAGTTATCATGATAAAAATTACATCGGTACTGAAACACTTTTGAGTCGGTATTAACTTGCACACCTCGAATTGCTGTCGTTTGTCAAGTGTGATTTACAAAACCTGCTTGACATTCTTGCGCTATTCTATGTATGATGCTGCAACCCCTGCAATTGGCAGGACATTTAAAGTCGCTTTAATATTAGCTAGGGTAACAAGAAAAAGTAGAGCCAGAGGAAGAATAAGAAGGTAGAAATAAAAGCGAAAAGGGGAAGTAGAAGAGAAGAAGAAAGAAAATATGAAGAAGAAGGAAAAGAAGAAGAAGAAAGAACATTTGACTGGTGTGGTCTATATTCACTTAGCAAATCGAGTGTTCCGCGTATTATTTCTCACTTATGAATCCCCTGCGCTGGAACCTCTGCAGCTAGCGACGTATTATAATGATACACATTTTTTTTGCAAGTGTGGAGAAGTTGGCAACAGGTGATAACCTTCAGATGTCTTTGATGTAGTATTTTGTATCGTTTCAAACAAAGATATGATCGTCTATTCTTAGCAACCTCGCTTTAGAAGATATGAAGATAGTAGAAATAGCTACTGATGTAATGGGGGAACAACCATTGTCACTGTGAGTCTTGCTTGCGAAGGAAATACGAATTAACCTATTGTTAACTGTGAAAGTATTTGATTTTCCATTCAAATTTACTCCAGAACTGCCCTCTATATTTAAACAACGATGATAAATATGTAGAATATCATCAAATTTCAATAAAATAGACATTAATAAATTTGAATTAACTTTTGTGTTGCCGTAACCATACGCATCTTAATCTGGAAACAAATATACATTTTACGTCGTAGGATAGAACAAGAGAGTGATTTTCATTTAAACTGCTGAGTATTACTCGACTCCAATCACCTGTCATCGAGTGCAATAAAATGCACTCGGTAATACGAACGACCAATTACTTTCTAGTTAAAAAGCAAACCTCATCGGAAACTCATAGCCAAGTGGAGGAATTTATTGCCATTACTTTGTGTGAAATTAACTTCAGCGTTCAATGAAGCTCTAGTGAACATCTAGGAATAAATATGAACGAAGTAAAATGAAAATTGTGGCCAAAATACAAAAAGATCCTTTAGAATTTTTAGGAATGAAAAATATAGCCCCTAATGGATCAATGCCATAAAATAATAGTTTTATAAGAGGTGAAACGTCTTGAGAGATTGAAAGCTACACGTGGATTTGAAATCCCATTAAGATATACGATTTATATGAAATAGCTAAGTTGACTTTACTGCGAGTCGTGACACTGATTTGATAAATATACTTTTTTATGTACCCAAAAGGTCTTAAAACTATTTTGATATTGCGATAGTGGCATTTTATTTTGCTAGTAGAGAATTGTTCTACGAGCAAATAAAATTACTTTTAGCCCGTATTTTCAGTATTTTGTGTAAGACTTCCTGACTTTCATTGTATTTTAATTCAAGTATACAAATCATTTAATAAGGTTAGGAGTAGCTGATGCAGTCAGACTTAATAATTTTGCTTTTTGGTTCCATTCACAGATTTATCTGAACACTTGAGTGTCATCTCACGTTTAGAACTAGTGATAAAAAACCACGTGTTAAAGTGAACTTTAAGGATGTTACGCATGACCTGACCTCTTTTTTTAGTGGCTGCCTATAAAGCTTTTGTGAGCGGTAGTAGTCGTGAACCAAGGATATATATTTTCTTACTGATGCTAGTTTTCGCTTTGCCTCTCCCCGCTTTGGAGAGCGACTTCACAACGTGGACCTACCCGATTCCTGAGGATTGGCTGACCAGTGATGAGCTCAGCGGTCCGTATTTATTCCCTCCGTTCCCAAAGATGCTGGGAAAGTCTCCTCCTATGCCATATCCAAAGGACGTAGGCACCACGAAGCCTGCGTGACCACCGTGGTGACCGTGACCTGCAAAAGTAAGGAAGAACTAAAACAAGGAACAACAATACCAGGTGGAAGGGAAATGAGGTAAATTCCCCTCAATTTTTCAGTAATTATTCATTTTAACTAGTCACGAAATATTCAAGCAAAAATATTTCCGTATAAACATTAAAACGAACAAAAGTGTATTGCAATATAAGCTGAGTTTAGCCTGCGTCATTCTACATAATCGGTAATATGACACATTCGGCGAAAACATTTTGAATAAAAAAAATTTCCCTCCCAAAATTCGTCTCTGTATCCGCCCCTGGCAATACCATTTCTGCAATTGATGGTGGAAGGGGTCCTATATAATGAAAATGTTTAGATATTCGGCCCTGTTCAGATATTTAGTATGTCAATAGGTGACCTAATAGAAATAGACATCAGAAGTTTAAACAAATGCTATTCTTCAACAGTTTGCAAATGTTTGAAGCACTTAGGCTCTAAGTTTTAAAGTCGATTTTGTTTAATGTTTAGAAGTCAATGTCAATCAATGGTGATATTTAGAAGAGTATCTCACCTATGTGTTAATGAATTATTTTATAATAATGAAAAACACATTGTGTTTTACATTATTGTAAGAAATTATTATATTATTACATTATTTAAGAATTAATGAAATTGATTAATTAAAAAATTATAATAATTTTAAGAATTATTAAAAAATTTAAGAATTATTACATTATTGTTAATACGAAAAAAATCAAAAGTGTAGAGATTTGTATTCCGACTATGGTTTGCGGGACAATTTGTGAGCGGCGACGTCAGCGAACCACACGAACTTATCTGACAGGAGAAATAGTCCTTTGATGTTGACAAAGCCAAAGCGTTTGCAAGACAATGGCTAAAGAACACGTCATCCTTGATTAGGTCCCGGAAGTTGTGTCATTTGTAATGGACGACTGATTGCAAGATTGGAAAAAAATGATCTGACCAACTCTTTTTTAATAGTTCCACATTCTCTTAAATGTTTTATACTTACTTTTAATTATCTTCTACGTATGGACTATTTGCATACGTTTCCTTCCGTAATTGTAAATAATTTATAACATTTTTTGATTGTATACAAATGGATTATCTTAATTTCATATTGAGAATGGTAGAGCTAGAAATTGCTTACATGTGACTCCGTGGCGCAACGGTAGCGCGTCTGACTCCAGATCAGAAGGTTGCGTGTTCAAATCACGTCGGGGTCAAAGTTTTAAAATTGTCTCAATTGGTAGAATGATTTCTTCTCGCATTGAACACGAGCAAAGAAGTGAAATGCGGATATTCTCTATCAGAGAGCCATGAATTTATCAAATAATATTCCTATTTTGAAATTAAACTTACTGAAAATCAAATTTGTTAGATGTATTTGTACTTGTTCCTAGAGAAAAATGTGTTAAATCAAAAAGTACTATAAAAATATTAAGTAAATTTTATAATTTTCAGGTCAAACCAATTTTGCTTGTAAATTACACAAAACTTTCTGGTCAATGCTTTGTATACTATGTGAACAACTTATCTGTATGTTGCTTGATTGTTTGGTCTGGGAATGCGCCCCAAATTAATTGTTGTTTTAATAGAAATAGTTATATCTTTATAATATAATTTAATAATTATTTCCGAGGTACCGGGAACGTCATTCCGTCATATATATTGCAATAAAACATACACAAAGCAAAATATTATGATGTGAATGCTCTATTTTTAAGTTGCAACTTGTCATTCAGAATATTTGCCATTATTTTTCCGAGAACTTGACATCATATTTACCGGAGTTTCATTTCGCTTGATTAGTTTTTGCGGTGTTAGATGTTGGTTAGTTTCTCGTAAGGAGGAATCCACGTACCTCCTAGAACAGGTGTGGACTGGAACGATGCCAGTACCAACAGTAGGGCAGCA